TTCATATATATATATATATATATATGAACAATGTTTTCTAAAATCCTTGTTTTGAATAATAAAAAAATAAAAAACTCATGTTATAGACTAAATTATATAAAAATTCAAAAGATTTGACATTCGTTTATACAGCTTGTCTTTATCACATGTCAAGAAGGATTTTAGTAAATCCTGAATACATTAATATATTGAAGATTGAATTGAAATTAACTCCATAGATTGTAGTTTTTTTTTTTTTAATTTCTAAGCCGAAGATACACTTGGGAGTAGCTCTTGCAAGAGGATGGAGTTGGCTTAATAAAAAAAAGATGTAAATTAAGTGTTGAAAATAGGATGACACAAAATTCAATTTGAAGAGGAAGAGGTTGGCTTCATTAGACCTAAATCTGTCTCGATTATCATCCAAAATAAATATGCTTGTGTAAACACTTTGGCATCTTGGACGACTGGTCACATGAAATTGAAAAATATATGCTCTGATTGTCTTCAGGAAACCGGGGATCCCGGCATCCTGTCTGTTTTAGATTAATTTTCCCGAAGACCAAATCTGTCAGCCACTTAGGCTTCCCAGCATGTTTGAATAGGTTTAATATGATATGTCTGTGATTAGCATGTTCATGGATTGCTGAGCAGACTGAAGAATGACAAAGGGAAGCAGAAGCGGTATGATTTTTTTAATTAAAAAAGCTCCAAATAGAATGTTTAAAACATAGATAGATAGATAGATCAGTCCATGAAGACATGAAGACATACATACTGTAAGATGCAGGGTCTATCTGTGTCACGGAAAAAAAAAAAAACTATATTTCTTTTGCAAATAATAAGATGCTGAAGATCTCCTTGTATATTAATGTTTTAAATTTAAGATAGTGTAAATTTAATATGTATATCAGATCTAATATGTTTGGACTTGATAATATATCTAGTTCAAGATGATTTAAATTTGGGCATAGCAATTAACTAAATCTAAGATAATTACCATCATTCCATGATATATTTAGAAAAGTAGCTGATTTTTCTTGAATCAAAACTTGAAGAAAAACTTATCTATACAAACTGAGTTACATTTAATATATTAACTTTTATATTTTAAATATCTTTTTAAATGTGTAAAAATCTTTTAAAGATTCACTAGGTAAAATATATTTATTATTCATTCAATGTTATAAGAATAATTACCCTGTATATCCTTTTTTATATACTATGAATATAATATGAGAGTTTACAAAATAAAAGGGTTTAGAATCTCTAACTCTTTGCTACTTTGATATTTTTAAAATATATTTTTATAATATTATTGTATATTTTTTTTCTAAAAATATATTTATTTAAATATTAAAGAGTTTTTATCTCTGTTAAAAAAAAATTACACATACTAGCCATGAACAGCTTCAATCAACTAATAACCAAATATAAACTATTGATTATTTTAACTGAAAAAAATAAAAAAAAATTATCATGAATAATTGGCTAACTAATTCTCCAATCTATAAGCTCCATTCTCAAATTAGTTAGATTTTTTAGGATAATGGATGGCGAGGATATTGACACGGAGTTTCATGCTCATGTCAATTATCTTGGGAGGAATTGTTGCTGTGATTGTTCGGCTGTATAGGAATAGGATTCGCGGTTCATATGGCTTCTGAGGTGGCAAGTATGTTAAAAAGTAAAGAGTGGAGGTGGTGTGCTGAAGGTAGAAGTCTATCACTCTTAAGAACTTTCTTCTATTATAATCTTTCGTAATAGAGATTTATTATTCTGTAATTGAGATATTGCAATCGTAGAATTGACACCGTAATGTGCTTTGCAATTTACATTTATTTGATTTTTTTCATCAATAATATAGTGTTTACCTTTTGTTAAAAAAAAATAACAAGCGTTTTATGTTTTGTATAGCATTAAATTACTGTTGGAATAGAAATAATTATATTTAATAATAATATACAAGTTAAAATAATTATATTTATATCTTATGAGGTTATAATTGATGAGAAATAATAAAATATATTTTATTCTTATTAAGTATTATTATCAAAATTAGATATTTAAAAAATAATTAGATATTATTTTTTATTTTAGTTTATATTGAGTATTAAACTTAATAATATTATAATAATTTTAATTATAAAACCAATAATATCCTGTCAGATTGACACCAAATAGCCAACTTGAGGCTTGGACTACTCCAAATTTAAAAAAATAAAAAAATTAACTCAATTTAATCTAATAAAAAACTCAAATTAACTTGAG